TCACAGCGGTGCAGAGCAGTTAAAAATGATTGAGGAGAAAAAACGACCTATCCTGGAAGCACCACAATCAAGGAAGCAACAAGAGTTGAGGTCCTTCTGGGGGGTGTACAATCTTTTATCACGGTTTGTTCCACGAACGGCCATCGTGCTGCACACTTTGCATTGTTTGCTGTGCAAGGGCGCTCGGTGGGTGTGGTCACGGAAGGAGGAATTTTCTTTTCACCAAGTTAAAAGTGCACTGGCCAGTTTAAGGTTTTTGGCCCAATTCGACCCCAATAATGTGTAACGTTGAGGAGGGTTTCGCGATAGCACATCCTAGGATTCCGACTCTTAGTCGGAACGGACGAACGTCCTTCATAGATAGCAGCCTACGCGTGCAGAGTATCCGATTAAATCCATAACTTTGCAGACTAACGAGATCTAGCCGTCAGACATAAATGCGAGCTGATTTAAGACAAATACGCGCAATCTAAAACGACTGCACAGAGACCCGATATTACAAGGAGAGACTGGCTAATTAGAAAGAGTTCATTTGCTGACTTAGCCATGCTGAAGCATGTCTTCTGCACCTTCATCTTTTATAGCTCAGTAGATGATAGGAACTATTGAAAAGGTGGATTTTGGTAAGTCACATGTGTTGTCGACCCGTGATGTCGTTCTGAAGGAATCTCAGTAAATGTCAGTATGAATTGGTGCGGTAACTACCGTAACAACTGCGGAGCTTAGTTAGTTCACCGGTATGTCACGATAGATATAGTAGTGTAAAGTGAGGAGTTCAGTGGGTTCACTGTAGTGTACATAACAGACGCATGTTTCTTGAGTAGAGCTCAGTTGGTTCCTTGTCGCTTGACGTCCGTCTTGGATATGGTTTGCTTTGTTCCTAGCGCAGTATGAGTCGCCACATGATAATAGTATATCTGAGATGAGCCCGGCGAAGTCTGCGCAAGTTTGGCGGAGCTATGCCAAATTCGAAACGCTTTCCGTCGTGGTCAATCTCATCACTGTACCACGCAGTTTGTTTCGTTCTTCCCTGAACCAATCGGGTGGAGATGTTTTGAGCTAGGAGTGGAACTTGGTACGCAATGCTTGGCGTCTATTGCCACGATCACTAGGCCACTGAGCTCCACGAGTAGTACTTGACACGTGACATTTGCTGCATAACTCTGCGGAGTTCGAGCCACTCTGTTGCAACCGGACGCGAGAAGACTGAACAAGCCAGTAGCTTTTGGTTCTCGCACCGCATGAAATAACAACCCATGATAAAGAACAATGGTGTTATGTTCGTGAAACACTCTACTTGGATGATGTGCTAGCGAAATCGGT